CTGCCTGGCGCGGGAGGCCAAGACCTTGGTGCGCGGGGCGCCTGCCAGGCGAAGACCCCACTCGGAAGCCGGACCAAGGGAGGTCAAGGCTCCTCGGCCTGGTCGGGGCGCCCACAGCTGCCACCCTTGGACCCCCAGCTAGGGTCTCCGTGGCCGAGATGCCGCAGACGCCCAACCTGCCCCTAGCAGTGGACGTGCACCTCAGGACCTAGGATGCGCCTTTCCTGGAGACTTGGAGCTTCCCCTTGGAGATCTGGAGATTGCACGGGGCTTTGTTTTTGCGTCCTTTGCTCGGCTTTGGCTTTGGGATTCTCTGGCGACCTGAATATGCCCTTCCTTTGTGGGTAAGTCTCCTGTGGTTCGGAGCAAGGATAATCCACCCCGGGGCATCAGCCTTTAAATTCCTGAGCCTGGAGTCAGTCGCCTAGGGCTGCAGAAGAGGACCCAGCTCCTGAGGACGTAAGGGCTCTCTGATTCCACCTTTCTTTTGATGGAGAGAAATATAATTTCATGGCAGAATTTTCTTTAAGCACATTGTCTGATAGGATTGGCAATTACTAACCAGGAAAATGAGTAGCAATTAAGAGTTCAGTAATAAATGGAAGTCTATTGTCCTAATTGAGTGGAATTACTGATGGATAATGGCAACACTGACTTCTTCAGTTTAATTAAGAGTTTATATAATTATAGTGCACTTTTTATTTCTTGGGGGAGCCATGGGGTAGGAATTAAATAACCAGTGTGATGGTTAAGAAACCCATTTAATGGATAAGTAACCAGTAGGTTGAAATCAATGTGGGTGCCTTGCTCCAGTAATGCGGACTTAGATGACTTCCTGATAAAGGGATGTGCCTGCATGGGCCAAGCCCAGCTGCTAATTCTTGCCTGATAAAATCTGAATAGCTTAGAAATGATTAGGTAATCTCTGAAACTGGCACACTGAAATTGGGCTCTTTGAGGCAGCAAGGCTCTGCGCTCGCCTGCAGTGGTATTAACCCCGATTTGTGCTTCCCATAACTGTTTTCCGCATTCCCCAGAATGAAGTGAGTGGGTCATTTGAGAGTGTTTTGCTGTCTAGAGTTTCTGTATCAGAAATCTGGTGATTGAGCTGTTAAGCTTTAAATGTTGATAGCTAAAGGGGACGGGCAAGCTCCGAGCGGTCGCTGGGCTTGCAGTGGAGTAGGTGTGGAGGTGTGTAATTTGTTTGGGAAGTAATCTGTAATTATAAAGATGTTATTTTCCTCTTTGGTGGTGTATTGTTTCCTTTACTATTATGTTCTCAAGAAATTGTTCCCCTTGTGGGAAGCAATGAAACTGGAGAGAAATCCCTGCTCAGAGGATAATTTACTTGTGTTTTTGGTATAGGTTTCTGGGAATCCTTTTGCCCTGTGTTGGGATGTGTGTGTTTATGTTCATAAGAAGCTCCAGCAGGTTTGGAAATCACTAGGTTCTGAGACACTGGTAAATAATCAGCACTTGCAGCACTGATGTTTGTGCTGCTCTGCACCTAGACTTCTTTCTCTTTTGTACACAAGACTGGGCTTTCACCGGGATGATCAGGGACTGCCTCCTCTAGTGAGTACATACCACAGGTGGGATCAGGGGGCATCATGACAGTCGTACACCACTCAAGAAGAGACAACAAGTGACAGTGACAGAGCAGTGCGTCTTCACTGCTGCATGGGTTTTCAAGTTTGCCAAGCACTTTGAAAATTCATTCATAAACCTACTTGCTGCTGTCGGTGTGCCTCCTGGGCTGTGCCCTTCCTGGGTGCCTCACACAGGGTATGGGCATAACTTGGGTCATTGCTACAGTCCAGAATGGTAAGGACTTACCTACCCTGGGTTTTCCTTTCTCCCCCACCCCATCTTGTTGTTATGTCACTGCCATGAAAATCTAGCAAAACTGCAGAAAATTGTGTCCTTCTAGAACCACGGCTTCTCCACATGGGCTTCGTTAGTTGCCTATGCCTTTTTTGTTGGTATTCTGCCCCAGGCTCAGCTGAAACCCACTTATTTTATTTTATTTTATTTTATTTTTTTGTGAAATTGTACAATTGAACTCACAACACAGATAGAAATTTGAGAATTGAAAGATTCAAGAATGACAAATTGCCAAGTTTCATAACTTGTCATAAGAATTAGTATTACAGGTTCAACTTCCTCCTGCCCCTTTCCCCTGAGCACTCACAGATCTGTCATACAGCCCTGTTGACTAGTCCCATAGCTCAGTGTGTGGAAGAGGGCCAGGGATCTCTGTCTTCTCAGAGACACTGCCCTCATCTAACCCTGCCCCAAATCAGCTCTCTGGCCAGTCTCAGATAAGTACTTGAAATTTTGATTGAAATTTCCCCTTTCTCTTTTTAAAACCTGCCCTGAGTCAGTGGCCTGTCTTAATGCAGAGTCAGCCTGAACAGAATGAAAAACACAGAGACAGGTTGGGGTGATCTCAGTGAGCCAGTAGCAGATTCCAGTCCAACTTAGACATGGTACAGACTGCCTGGCATGCTCTTAGAAGGCAAGGGGTATTGGAGGGCAGAAGATGGCAGCCACCACCCGCCTTTGCCTCTCCTCTCACCTCCTTCCCACCCAGCTGTAGCTTCCCTGACCAGGCTGTGTAGGGGTATCAGTCACCACTTGTCTCTTGCTTGCACAATGCAGATTGCTCACTGTAACAACAGGGCATAAAGTAACTCAAGCAGGTCTTGGCCCCCGTCCTGGGGGGTTAACTGCTGGAAATACCTGAAAGACGTACATTGAACACACTTACCTGTGACCCAGTTCCGTGGCCTGGATCTCAAGGACAGGGTAATATCAGTCCCTTTTTAGGACCTATTAAATATGGTACCTTTCTCCCTCTACACTCCACCTGGTGGATCATAGTCTTCCTATTATGGAACCAGAGAAGCACTTCAAGGTCATCTCAGCCCCATGCAAAGTGGGCCATGGATCGGCACAGGCTTCACCTAGGAGCTTGTTAGAAATGCTGAACCTCAGATCTGATTTATAGAATTAGAATCTGCATTTGAACAAGCTCCCCAGATGATTCAATGCATTATGACAAGTTGGATTTTCCCGTGAGACAGACTGAGATGGAGTTTGGTGAGCAGAATACGTATCAGTGAGGGTCCTCAGGATCAATGCCTGGAGAGGGAGGAGGTGGAGCAGGAATGGGTGGGTGGAGGGAGGTGGCAAGCTGTGTGCTGCAAGCCAGAGAGAGAGCCTTCACTAACCACCTGGAGAGCCATGGCCAGACTGCCCTTCAGAGTTGTCCCATGATGCACAGAGAGGGACACCTCCCACCGACAGCCCTCCCAGCAGCCAGCCAGCAAGCTGGCCTTTGGGTGGGGACCTGGGAAGTCACCTGGATGACTTTACAGTGTCCACCACGTGTGCTGAAGTTGGGGTTCACTGCTCTAGGCCAGTGGATCTCAAAATGTGGCTCTAGCCCAGGAGGACCTTTCCCACAGGGACCTTGTCAGAGATCAGATTCCTGAGCCCCGCCCAAGGTCTGCTGGGTCAGAAACCACAGGGCTGGGGCCCAGCACCCTGTTTCACAGCGCTCCAGCTGCCTGCTGCATGCTCAGGTTTGAAAGCCACTCTGAGGCAGCCTCGTCTGACTAATTTGCTTTTTAAAAATTATTTTATTGAAAGATACTGTGCATTCTCTGTGGTAAAATCACCCTTTTTACATGTACAGTGATTTTTAGAGCATTCGCAAGACATGGCCACTAATTCTAAGACATGTTCTCAGACCCCAGAAGAAGTTCCAGACCCACTGGCCACTCCATACCCACTTCCCAAAGTCTGGGGACCATTAATCTACTTCATTCTTTATAGTTTTGCCTATTGTTTGAGTTTATTGTTGTTGTTGTTTTGTTTTTTTGTTTTGGTGGGTAGTACTAGAGATTGAACTCAGGGGCACTCAACCACTGAGTCACATCCCCAGCCCTATTTTCTATTTTATTTAGAGACAGGGTCTCACTGAGTTGCTTAGCCCCTCACCGAGGCTGAGACTGGCTTTGAACTCACGATCCTCCCATCTCAGCCTCCCGTGCTGCTGAGATTACAGACTGCACCAATGTGCCCAGCTGGTTTTACCTATTCTTAGCATGTCGTTTCAGATAAATGAAATAATGCAATGTGAGCATTTGTCTTTTTCCTTAATGTTTTTGAGATCCATTTGAGGTGTGGCTTGTATCAGGGCTCCATTTTTTAAATGGATAACTCCCATTCCATTGTTAAGACGCCATGTGTTCTTTATTCACTCATCTGTTGATAGCAGTCGGGTGGCTCTACTTTTGTCCCTCATGAATAATGTCATCCTGAATGTTCACGGAAAGTTTCTGCGTGGACGTGTAAATACCTGGGAACGGAGCTGTGGAGTCGCGTGTTAGCTCTGTTTCTGTGGTGTGGGAAGGAACTGTTGCACAGTTCTCCCGCGTGACTGTGCCCTTGCACACTCCCCAGCGCTCTTGAGGGCTGCAGTTTCTCCATCGCCTCTCCTCACACCTTGGTCCTCCTCCTGACTGTGGCTATTCTAGTGGTTATAAAGTGGTAACTCATTTTGGTTTGAGTTTGC